AATCTTCATACTGCTTCCCATATTGGCTGTACCAATTTGCAGTCCCACCAGCAATGTATGAGTGTACCTTTTTCCCCACATCCTCTCCAACACTTATTGTTGTTTTTCTTCATAATAGCTGCCATTCTGACTGGAGTGAGATGATATCTCAGAGTAGTCTTAATTTGCAATTCTCTGATTGCTACAGATGATAAGCATTTTTTCATATATTTGTTGATTGATTGTATATCCTCTTCTGAGAAGTGTCTGTTCAGGTCCTTAGCCCATTTGTTGATTGGGTTATTTGATTTTTCAGTGCTTAGCTTTTTGAGTTCTTTATATACCCTAGAGATTAGTGCTCTATCTGATATGTGAGGGGTAAAAATTTGTTCCCAGGATATGGGCTCCCTGTTCAACTCACAGATTGTTTCTTTTGCTGAGAAGAAACTTTTTAGTTTGAGTCCATTCCATTTATTGATTCTTGGTTTTAATTCTTGCACTACAGGAATCTTATTAAGGAAGTAGGGGCCTAATCCCACATGATGAAGATTAGGGCCTACTTTTTCTTTTATTAGAAGCAGAGTCTCTGTTTTAATTTCTAGGTCCTTGATCCATTTTGAGTTGGGTTTTGTGTATGGTGAGAGATAGGAGTTTAATTTCATTTTGTTGCATATGGATTTCCAGTTTTCCCAGCACCATTTGTTGAAGGTGCTATCTATTCTCCAGTGCATGCTTTTGACATCTTTATCTAATATAAGATAATTTCAATTTTGTGGGTTAGTCTCTGTGTCCTCTCTTTTGTTCCACTGGTATACCAGTCTGTTTTGGTGCCAATACCATGCTGTTTTTGTTACTATTGCTCTGTAGTATAGTTTAAGGTCTGGTACAGTGATGCCACATGCTTCACTCTTCCTGCTAAGAATTGATTTAGTTATTCTGGGTCTCTTATTTTTCCAGATGAATTCATGATTACTTTTTCTAATTCTATGAGGAATGCCATTGGGGTTTTGATTGGAATTTCATTAAATCTGTATAATGCTTCTGGTAGTATAGTCATTTTGATAATATTAATTCTGCCTATCCAAGAGCAAGGTAGATCTTTCCAACTTCTAAAGTCTTCTTTGATTTCTCTCTTTAGGGTTCTGTAGTTTTCATTGTATAGATCTTTCACCTCTTTTGTTAAGTTGATTCCCAAATATCTTTTTTTTTTTGAGGTTATTGTGAATATGGTAGTTTTCCTCATTTCCTTCTCAGAGGCTTTGTCATTGATATACAGAAATGCGTTTGATTTACAGGTGTTGATTTTATATTCTGCTACTTTGCTGGATTCATTTACTAGTCCTAGAAGTTTTCTGGTGGAGTTTTTTGGGTATTCTAGGTATAGAATCACATTGTCAGAAAATAGTGCTAATTTAAGTTCTTCTTTTCCTATATGTATCCCTTTAATTTCTTTCATCTGTCTAATTGCTCTGGCCAGTGTTTCAAGAACTACCTTGAATAGAAGTGGTGACAGCATCCCTGTCTTGTTCCAGTTTTTAGAGGCAATGCCTTCAATTTTTCTCCATTTAGAATGATGTTGTTGGCTCTTTCTTTAGAAGTTAAACATACACCTTCCATATTACCCAGCCATTCTATTCCTGGGTATCAACCAACAGAGAGAAAGTGCATGTCCAAGTACAGACTGATACCTGAATGTTCTATGTGGCTTCTTTTTTTCAACTAAAACTATAAATAACTGAAATATCCATTAAGGATAGTTCTTGACATCATAATGGCCATATATTAGAAGCCCACAGTTATATCATACTTATTGCAAAGCTTTCAGAATTTTCTCTATGATCAAGAAGCAAACAAGAATAATTGTTGTCTTCACTGCTATTCAAAATTGTACTAGAAAGTCTACCCTAATGAATTAGCAAAACAAAAAAAGAAAGAGCATCCAAATTGCAAAGAAACAAGGAAAATTGTCTGTTTGTAAATGACATAATCTTACATACAAAAGTTCCTAAAACTCCACTCCAAAACTGTTAGAAATAATAAAAAAATTAAAGTTGGATATAAAATCAACATACAAAAATCAGTTTTATTTCTATATGAAATGAACTCTCTGAAAAAGAAATTTAAGAAAACAATTCCATTTACAATATCAATAAAAGTTAAACAATTGATGAAAAAAAATTCAAGACAAATAAACTGGAAGGTAGTCTGTATTCATGGATTAGAATAACCAATATGGTTAAAATGACCACACTACCAAAAGCTATCTGACATTTGACTTCACAATAATTTGTTGGATATGACACCAAAAGTCTGGGCAATAAGGCAAAAATAAAGTGGAACTTTAAAAAAATCTGCACACAAAACAATCAACAAATTAAAATGTAATATATGGAAAGGGTTCAAATATTGGAAGAGGGGCTGATTCCAAAAAATATAAGGAACAAAGTATTTAAATAGACTCTTCTTCCCTAAAGAAGATATACAAATGGCCAACAGATATATTAAAAGGTGCTTAATAACAGTAAAAATTTTGGAAATGAAAATCAAAGCTTAATGAGTTACCACCTCACATCTTTTAGGATGACTACTAAGAGAAAGAGAGGAGAGAGAAAAAAAATCAGAAAGAGAACACGACTGTTGGCAAGAACATAGAGAAAATGGAACATGTGGGCTATTGGTGAGAATGTAAATTGGTGCAGCTGCTATGGAAAACCACAGGTTGATCAGAAGATTAAACATAAGACTACCATGTGCTCCTGTAATCTCACTTCTGTGTATACATCCGAAGGAAATGATGGCCTCAAAGAGATACATATACTCTCATGGTTACTGTAATATATTCACAACCAAGATGCCCTGTTTAGTTACTCATCCAGTTAATGCTAAACACATCAGCTGTGCATTTGAAACACATCTGAACTTGGGGCACCCTCTAGTGATGAAACAGCAACAATAGCAGAATCACAGCAACTGTGGATTCAGGGTGCCATCTAGTGATGAATAGTAGAGGCATCTGCAAATTCAGAAAATAAATTTTGGGGGAAATGAGGCACAAAGCCACATTACAAAAAACTGGAATAAATATCTAATGATTTAATGGACAAATGACAACACATACAAAAAAAGGGTTATTATTTTAAGGAAACTCAAGGATCTTAATACAATTAAATACTCTAACAGAGAAACCTTAACAAGAGATGGAAGCAATTTTAAAAATCAAACAGAAAGCTAAAAACATAAACTAAGCAAAATTTAAAATAGGATAGAAGCATGATATCAGAGTAGATCAAACAGAAGGAAGAATTAGGGTGCTCAAAAAACATTCTTTTTGAAAAATACTTAGTAGGAAAAGAAGAAAAGAAAGAAGATGAATAAGGAAACCTACAGAAACTTTGGGAAATCATTAAGAGCAAATGTTTAACTATTTGGCATTCCAGAGGTACTTGAGAATGTTGAAGGAATAATAAAAGAATACTTGAAGAAATAATAAGAAAAAACTCACACACAGAAGAAATTATATATCAAGATACAGGAAAGTCAAAAGTCACCCATTTGGTTCTCAACCAAACCTACCCCAAGGCACACTATAATCAATCTTTCAAAGGTTAAAGATGGAGGAAACATTCCAAAGGCAGCAAGACAGAGAACACAACACATAAAGGTGTCCCAGTTCACCTGCTAGCAGACTTAGCAGAAAGGTCACAAGCCAGCAGAAAGAATGGAATGAGATTTCACAGAACCAGAGGGTTAAAACTGTACCCATCAAAGCTATCCTTTAGAAATGAAGAAGATGTAAAGACATCCCCAGACAGACCTTAGAAAATGTTTCTCCATTAAACCTGTCCATTAAAAAAATGCTAAGAGAAGCTCTTCAAATTTTAAGAAAAAGATGTTAATGAGTAAGAAGGATACACATATAAAATACACTGGTAAGAGTAACCACACAGACAAATTCAGAATGCTGTGAAATTATAAATGTAAGATATAAACTATTTATACCTTTGGAATGAAAACTATGAAAAATTTAAAATTAATAACTACATTAATATGTTAAGAGATAGGCAAAATCAAAATTTATAAACTGGGACATCAGAAATTCCAAATATGTGGAGGAATGAAATAGAAGCATACAACTTTATTAGTTTATTTTCTTTCTTTTTGTGTTTCTTAATTTTATGATCATGTTATGTGGCTACTTTTAATTTTTAAAAACAATTATGGTGTATAGTATACTTGAAACTTACTGAGAGTTGATCTTGAGTGTTCCCCCCATAAACACAGAAAAAGGAATAAATAGATGAGGTAATGGATGTGTAATTATCTTGATTGTAGTAATAATTTTACAATGCAAATGTATATCCAATCATAATATCATACTCTTAAATGCAAATAATTTTATTGTCAATCATATTTCAATAAAGCCAGGTGGAGAAAAGAAACTGAACCTAGAACTTAAAAAGTAGGATTTCAAAAAGGAATGGTGATAATTGTGGTGTTGATGAACAAATCATATGATAAAATTTCATAACACTCTGTAGACACAAATGAATGCATGTAAATAACAGTCAATAAGGTATTTAGTTTTATTAATAGTATTGTACCAATACCAATTTTCTGGCTGTGAAATGGCAATATGTTAATATAAGATATTGTCATTGGAAAAAAATAGATGAAGGATACATGAAAAATGTACATTTTTAAGAAACACTTGTGATGCTCCTGTAGAACATTTGGATTGATTGGGTTATGAGAGTCTTAACTCAATCAGTGGATTAATCTCCTGATGGGATTAACTGGGTTGGAGTTAAGGGCAGAGCAATGACATTGGCAAGTTATTTAACTATACTCCCAAATCTCTGCATCTTTAAAAAGAAAAATTCACAAACACCTCACACAACTAAATGAGGTATTGACTCAAAATCCTAATAAAACGCAAATTGTTGTTGCTGCTCATATTACCTTACATATTATTAGATTCAAATGCTACTAAAGGTTAGCTTCAGAACACAAATTCAACTTACTCACTACTTAGGAATTCCTCTTCTGTGGAAAACCACTTTTTCACTCTCTTCCACACCACAACTATTATGCTTAAGATGATGAGAATAGGTGAACCAATGTAGACACCTAGAAGCCAGTTCTTCATAGTATTCCCAGAATCTTTCTCCGGGACTGAACCTAAAAACAAAAGTACGTTAAAAATTAGGCTATCCAATTTTACTTTCAGGTTGCAACAAATTTATTAAAATATTCTAAATTTTTGTTACTCAAGGAGCATGAAAAAACAATTATATAATCATAATATTTAAAGATATACATATATATACATAGTATCTTACAAATATATACGTAATACTAATATATATATATATATATATATATATTATATAAAATCTTTTTTTCTAAAAATGTAAACTAAACTCCCAAAAGGTTCCAGAGTTTTCAACATGGTACAGAAGCTACAACAAAATCTAATTGTGGGTCAAAGGATGCAATAATAAATGAGATGGTGTAATCACAAAGTTATCCAAATTTGCATCGTTTCAATATTTTCTAATGACAGGATTATCAAAAGATCTCACTGTATTTGTATATATTCAGTTTTTATTTAGTAGATCGTTGGCTTTTGATCTTAGGGCTGTAATTTTATATGTAAAGTCATTGTGGTGCTAATAAAGGGTGCTAGCATAAAAATTAGGAGACTTCAATTCATAACCCTAATTCTGACACTTGTAAGCATTGAGCATAGTCTCAGCACCATGTGAGGGATTTCTTTGCTCGCTATACACCCCCAGTGCCTAAATCGACATCTGGTATATATTAAGAGTTTGATAAGTATTTGCTAACTCAGTGGATGCATGAATGACAGGAAGTAAAAGAAAGAATAAACTGAAATTTGTGCTGGTGTCCCTTCTGTAAACTCTTAAGCTGCCATTTACAGATTGTTCTCATTTAAACTACAAACTCCTTTGGAATAAAATTTTGTCTTCTATTTCATTTCTTCTTCTATAACATAAACATAGTAATAGTACCAGATATAGTAAACACTATTTGTTTACAGTTGAAATCTCAATCATACAGAGGCCAGCTGAAAAATATTCTAAAAGAGAAAGTCAATGGTAAAAAAGGAAAAAGTTTCAAAGATATTCAGATTCAATTATGATATTTTAATATTATAAAAAAGAGAAAGAATAAGAAGGCATATTTGGATCACATTCTTTGAGAAAACTCAGATTGCCTTAAAAATGTTAGTATCGCTTCAAGTGATAAAAATCTAATGTTAGTTTAGTGAGGATAAGAAATTTGAAAATTTTTATTAAATAACTTATCTAAAGAGACTAGTACTTGCCTGATTTTACAGTCACAAAAGCACTTCTGGCACTTGTTTGGCAATCTGGAGGCAGGTAACCATCAGAACAGTTGCAAACACCTTGGGAATTGCACACCTAGGATCATTATTTAAAATTTGGATGTTTTTTAAAAAATATTTTTGCATTGAAAGTGAAATTATGAGATAGATCATCATGTTTAGTTTTGCATCTTTACCGAACATAATTTGATTTCTACAGTGATTTATTTACAGAGATAATTGTACAAAATAAATGTTTGGTTTCTTAAAGACTCAAACATATACACCAAAGAAGAAGAAGAAGAGGAGGAAAGAGGAAGAGGAGCAAGAGGAGGAAGAGCAGGAGGAGAAGGAGAATAAAAAAAACAAAAAAGAACTATAAAGTGACTAAGAACATACAGCACCTTCAAATATTTATCTGCAAATATAGTGTGCAATTTCAAAAACACATACTACTTAAATTCTAATTGCAATGCTACCTTTACAGTGATATACTTGAGAAAGCTAAAATCAGCTCCAACCTGATTGTATGCCTCAATTCCCATTTCCACATTCAGTGATTTATGTTGATAGTTTGAGGTATTTGCCTCTACATAAAGTACTTTACTGTTCCCCAGACTGGATGCTAAATATTTACTGGCTTAAAACTACCCTTAACCAGGACAGGATTTTGTTTTATCTGCATTTGTTTGATTTTTAATTAAAAGCATTTTGTAATCTGAGCCTCTAGATGCTTAGATATAGTATAACTTTAGGAAGGGATTTTTTTTCTGTAACTGAGAAATGTAATTAAATGTATTTAATTAATTAATTAATGTAATGTAATGTAATTAAATGTAATTAACTGTAATTAATGTAATTAATTAATAAGTGCAATTAATTAATTAATTACCATAGCAAACACATTTATTGTGATTACTGTGAGTCTCTATTCTGAACACTTTATATGGATTTACTCATTAAATACTTATAACAGCCCTGATAGCAGAGAGAAATAGAAAAGAGTCAGGGACAGATACAGTGTCAATGCCAAGTCCCAATGCCAAGTCCCCAGTGACCTACTTCCTTCAGCTATGCTCCACCTGCTTATCATTTTCACTACCTTCCACTAAGTGCAATCCAATTATTAATCCATCAAAAGAATTAGTGCACTTAGGAAGTCAGAGCCCTCATGACTCCATCTTTCACCTCTGAACTTTGCTACATTTCCTAATACATGAGTTTCTGGGGACACATTTCAGATCTAAAAGCATAAAAGAACTATTATCATTCCCACTTTACAAATGAAGAAACTGAGACATATATATTTAGCTTTCCAAAAGTCAAACTGCTACTAATGGAGAGAGCCAGCATTTAAACTAAGAAAGTCTTGAGCATTATACTATGCTACCTCTCAAAATAATATAAAACATCTCTCAATTTGGGGTGTCTTACATTGAAGCTAAATATTACAGCTAAGAACATGAATCTTTTCCCCTGAAACTCTTTACAAAACTGATGTTCCTCTAATGTCAGTTTGTTCCAGTATTGCATCATCACTCATGTCACTTAGTTAACCTTAAAAAGCTCATGTTTTGGAAGATTCAGAGGTGGGGCTTTGGGGCAATAATAATAAAATGTCATCAGGAGATTAATCCATTTGACAGATTTATCATTTGAATAAACTATTGTGTGGTAACTATAGGCTGATGGGGCATGGCTGTCTACAATTTCCACACAAGAGTTTCTTCAAATTATGAGGTTATTTTGCCCTTGGGTTATACCTTCATGCATGAACTTTCTCTGTCTTTCTCTGACTCTCTCATGCACACACATTCAATCCTGTCGCCCCGCCCCTTTTCTCCCTCTTTGCTTTCTGGCTGTCATAAGTTGAGCAGCTTTTCTCCTCCACCACCCTTCCATCAAGATGTTCTGCCTTAGGTCAGGTCCAGAAGAATGGAGTTGGCTGATCTTGGACTGAATCTTTGAAGTTATGAAGCCCAACTTTTCCTTCTCTAAGTTGTTGTTGTCAGGTACTTGGGTCACAGCAATGAAAAGCTGACTGACACATAAGGAAATAATTTAAGATTATGGAAATATATCACTCCTTATAAAATTTCCACTCACTAGTTTTAGAATCCACTGATAATTCTTTAACCCCCTCATTCTTTCTATATTGCTTATAATGTAAGGAAAATTTTTCCTTCCTTCCCATTCATTTATGCAGTTATTGTCATTAACAATAATCAATAATAGTAAATGATATTACTGTAAATACCATGTAATACATTTATTTATTAAATTTTTACTTATTTATTAAAACAATATCATATTTATTTTACTTTATTCAATGACCAAAAACCTATTAATATATTTATAACAATGCCCAAATTGCCTCATATTTTGTCAATGGAAGCCCTTTTATAATTTTTTTCTTTTTACATATAACAATTATATATATTCATAGAGTAGAAGTGATATTTCAATAATGCTTATAGTATTTACAGATTGAATAGAGAAAATTAGAATTTCCATATCCTTATTACTTCATTATGCTTGGAGACTTCAAGTTCCTTTCTTCTAGTTCTTCATAAAACATATAATATGTGATTGTGGATTATATTCACCCTACAGTGCTTTGGAACACTAAAATTTATAACCTATGCAATTTTGATTTTGTTCCCATTATCCGATTCTCCCTACCCCACTCCCTTCCCCTGCTCTCTTCTCCCTTCCCCCTACTCCGCTCAGTCTCTATTAATCCACATTCTACATTCAGATCAACTTTTTGAAAGATCTACATGAGAGAGAACATGGGTTATATGTCTTTTAGTGCCTACCTTATTTCTCTCAGCATATCCTAAAGTTCCATCCATTTTGCTGCAAAGTACAGAATTTCATTCTTTGTATGGCTAAATAATACTCCATTGTGTGTATATACCACACTTTCTTTATTCATCTAATCCTGGGCATTTAGGTTGATTCTAAAGCTAAATCCTTGTCCCAGGGAGGCAGAGTGGTGGCCCCAGGTGGTCTGGAATGTGAGCCTCAGCCATGGTGAGCCCACCATGCCAAAAATTACATAGGTTATAAATAGACCTAAATGTAAGACCTACAATCATGAAACTACTAGAAGAAAACATAGGGTAAACATTTAATAACATCCATGTAGGTAAGGATTTTTTCACAAGCTCTAAAAACACAGGCAAGGAAAGCCAAAAACCATCCAGTGAGATTATTTAAAACTAAGTAGCATTTTCAAAACAAAGGTAGTAATAAATGGAGTGAAAAAATGAAGAAAATATTTGTTAACTACTCATCTGACAAAGGATTGATATTCAGAATATATAGGAAACTAAAAAAATTCAACTACAAAATATAAAACAACTTAACTTTTAAATGGTTGCATGATCTTAATATATACTTCTCAAGAGAAGGAATACAAATAACTAACTAATATATAAGAAAATGCTCAATATCATTAATTATCTTAGAAATGCAAATTGGAACCATAATATCTCATCCCAAGCAGAATGGTTATTATTGAAAAAACACACACGCGCGCACATATTGGCAACAGTGTAGAAAAAAAGGAACTCTTGTATGTTTTTGATAAGATTGTAAATTAGTGCAGCAGTTATGGAGAAGAGAATGGAGGCAAAAACAACAACAAAAACAAAACAAAAATAGCAGTCTTACATTTAGGTCTATGATCCATTTTGAGTTTACTTTCATATGGGGTGAGAGACAGGGACCAAGTTTCAAACTTCTGCTTTATGTATATCCAGTTCTCCCACCACCATTGATTGAAGAGGTTGTCTTTTCTTCAGTGTATTTCTTGACACCTTTGTCAAGAATCAGTTGACTATAACTGCATGGGGTTGCCTCATGCAATTCTATTTAGTTGCAATGGTCTCTGTGAATATTGTTATCCCAGTACCCTTTTGTTTTGGATTACTAAAGCGCTGTAGTATATCTGGAATACAGGCATCAGAATGCCCTGCAGCTTTGCTCCTTTTGCTCAAGATTGCTTTTGCTATTTGGGATCTTTTGGGCTTCCATATGAATTTTATGATTTGTTATTGGTATTTTGTATAAATTGCTTTGAATAATATGGACATTTTAACAATATTAATTCTTCCATGGAAGGTCTTTTCATTTGTGTTTATTTGTGTGTGTCTTCTTCAATTTCTTTCATGAGTATTTTATAAATTTCAGTGTAGAGGTCTTTCACTTCCTTAATTAAATTTATCCCCAGGTATTTTATTTTTGGTAGCCATTGTAAATGGAATTTTTTCATAATTTCTTTCTCAGCAAGTTTATTATTGGTATATAAAAATACTACTGATTTTTTTATATTAATACTGTATCCTGAAACTTAAAAAATTCATTTATCAATGCTGGTAGTCTTTTGGTAAAATATCCAGTTTTTCTATATGGAGAATCATATCATTTGAAAACAAGGATAATTTGACTTTCTCCTTTCCTAACTTTTAAGTATTTTTTATGTATCATGTATTTTTCTCCTGACTAATTTCTCTGCATAAGACTTTCAGTACTGTGATGAATAAGAATAGTAAAACTGAACAGCTTTGTCTTGTTCCATATCTTAGGAAATATAAGAAAGAAATATCTAAGAATTAATATTAATAAAAATTAATTTTTCTCCTCTTTGAAAAAATGCTGTCAGTGAAACAAGAAGATAAGCCACTAATGGGGATAAAACATGTACAAAGGACATATTCAGATACAGGACAGGACTAGTATTCAAAATAAACAAAAGACATTTAACACTCTATAAAAATAAACTAAACAGCCTGATTTTAAAATGGGCAAAAGACTGTACCAGATACCTCACAAAAAAAGATATCCAGAGGGCAAATAATTATATGAAAAGATGATCTACACCACATGCCATCAGTGAAATGTAAATTCAAATAGTAATAGGGTATCACTGCACACCACTAGAATGACCAATTATAAAACACTGACATCAAATACTGGCTAGGTTGTGGGGCAACATGAAATTATGCAGCTGTGTTGGAAGACCTTTTGAGAGCTTCCTCCAATATCAGGCATCTTCCCACCATAGGATTCTCTGGTTGCAATCCTTTATACAAAGGAGTTGAAAATGTATATTCTTCATGCAAAAACTAAGAATGGTTATAACAGCTTTATTCATAATTGCTAAAACTTAGAAGCAACCAGAATGTTTTTCAGCAGGTAAATGAATAAATAATTGCAGTATATCAAGACAAAGTAACATTATTTCACATTAAATAACATTATTTCACATTAAAAAGAAATGAGCTATCAAGGCATGAAAATATATAGAGGAATCTTAAATGCATATTACTAAATAAGTCAATCTAAAAAGTCTACATAATGTATGACTCCAGGAATATGATATTATGGAAAAGCTATGGAGAAAAAAATTCCCTGGGTTCCAGGAGCTAAGTGGGAGGGAAGGATTAAGAGAAAACTCAGAGGACTTCTAAGGTAGTAAAAATACTCTGTATGATATAATGGTAGAGACAAGTGTCATTATGCACTTGTCAAAACCCATAAAACATACAAAATAAAAAGTGAACCCTAATATACTATGGACTTTGGGTGATGATGGTGTATCCCTGTAGGTTCAACCATTATAAGACTGTATAACTCTGATGAGACATGCTGAAAATGAAGAGAGCTAGGCATGTTTGAGGGAGGAACTATATGGGAACTACCTATATCTTAATCCAATTTTGCTGTGAACCTGAAACTACTCTTAAAATTAATTCATTTTTTAAGTTACTAAAAAAAAAGAAAAGAAAAAAGTGGAGAATGCATATCAAATGCATATCACTAAGTGAAAGAATCAATCTGAAAAGCATACATAATTTATGATTCCAATAACTTGATACTCAAAAAAAAATAACAGAGAGAGTAAAAAGATCGGTGGTTGTCTGGGGTTAGAGGAAAGAGAAGATTGAATATTTGGAGCTCAGAAGCTTTTAGAGGAGTAAAAGTACTCTGATCATACGAGTGGACACATGTAATTATATATTAATCAAAAATTCAAAGATAATATAACACTGAGAGTCAACTCTAATGTAACCTATGAACTATTGGTAATAATGTATCAGTGTACATAATCAATTGTACAAATGTTACACAGTGGTTTGTGATGTTGAAATTGTGATAGGTTGTATTCAAATGGAGTCAAGAAGGTCTATGCAAAAAATCTCTGCACTTTCTACTAAATTTTGCTATGAAACTAAAGCTCTACAAAAGCAAGCATATTTTTTAAAGGAAATAAAATCAAATTTCCCATGACCACTTATATTCACAAGACACAGGAATTATCTTCCTTTTGTGAACAAGTTTGTGTATTTACTGAAATATTTAACATCTTTTGAAAAGTACACAACTATAATAATATACTTTTTAGGTCATCAGCAATTCAATTCAAATCAAAGTGTTTTCTAACACTAATTATAGCTGCTGGGTTTACTCAATTTAGTTCCAAAATGAATCTAGATACACAAGGGGCTGGCACATAGTCAGAACCTGATAAACATAAATTAATGAGTGCCATTGAAAAGCTTCCAAGAGAGATATGATTCAAGTAAACATGAGCTTACTTATTACTTACTCCATGTCCAGAACACCGTTGTGTACAAGTCTTTGCACTTTCCTTAATCATTCTTGATTCCACGCATACACGGTTTACACAAATCTAAAAAAAAAAAAAAAAAAAAAAAAAACACATACAAAGAGATTTCCAATTCTGAGGGAGGGGCCCAGCCATCATAGCATTAAAATTAATTACATAAGAAAATCTGAATTTTGCTATAAATTTCCCCCTAAACACTACTTTTGCAGCATTCCTCAAATTTTGATAAGTTGTATTTTCATTTTCATTTAGTATTAAGTATTTTAATTATTTTAAAATTTCTCTCGAGAATTCTTCTTTGATCTACGTAATACTTAGAACTGCACTGATTAATCACCAAGTATTTGAAGTATTTGAGGATTTTCCAGGTAACTTCAAAGCAGTCTATGGATTTGCGATAATGATGAGACAATAGAGGCTTATCAAGTGTAAAAAATATATTGCTCTAGTGTGGTAGTGGGTAGAGAGGAAAGGGTACAAAAAGAATATGGGAACACTCTCTGCCTCCACTACATTTTGCTGTGAATCTAACCTGCACTAAAATGTAAAACGGATTATTTTAAAGAAATAATTTTTTTAATGATTCAAGGCAGAGCTGGAGTTGTAGCTTAGTGGTAGAGCACTTGCCTAGCCCATGTGAGGCACTGGGTTGGATCCTCAGCACCACATAAAAATAAATAAATAAAATAAAGGTATTGTGTCCACTTATAACTAAAAATATACATATATATTTTAAAAATGGTTCAACGCAAAAATAGGGGATTTTAATTAAACAAAATTGGTCATAACAAAATTACCATAATCAGAGAAAACATATCTCATTAAAATTCCATGAAATCTAACAAAACTCTTCGTGAGTACACAAATTTAAAAAAAAACCTTGTACTTATTACATGTATCAAAATTTTTCATGGAAAGAAAATAAATTTATTATAACTATGGCATGTGTACAGTTTTCATAATATATGAACTATTATTAGAAAATCCTAAATATTTAATAACATAATAGATATTTTAACTAAAATATATTACTCTCATGGAATGTAATAAAAATCCATAGTTAATTATTTTAGAATATAATAACCAGAGGAATAAAGATATATTCTTAATTAATTGTAGAAATCTCAACTTCACTAAGTTGTAGTTTTCTTACCTAAACATAATACTTTTTTCTTAAAAAACAAAAAAAAGAGCAAAGTTATTTTAGAAAACATAAGTAGTATTTAAGTTTGTTTCCAGAGTGAAAATGAGATAATACTTGTGAAAATTATTACCTTTTAAACATTAAATCACAGTACAACTCCCTACAAAGAAATACCTTCACAAAACCTCTTCCAAAGCCAGAAATTTGTTTTGAACATTTAATGTATTGAGACTTCCCTCTGGTCCTTGGCAATGAAGGTATATATATATATATAACAACTCCTTTTTGTTTTTCTTCTCCAAATAATTAGTTTACTTAGCACTAATTAGCAAATGAAAACTTAAAACTCAATAAAATATTGATTAAAGTAATAAATAAGACTATGTAGTTTTAAAAACTATGTTAAATCATTTACCCTGTCAGTATCACAATGAGCGCCACTTTTGACTTCAAATGGGTCTTTTGCTGTATCACCAGTGTCCACAGATATACATACACTCTGTCGTACAAAAGCATAAATCACAGAAGCATTGTCTCGATGGTAAGGAGTGTGAAAAGGATAAGTACAAATTAATCTTCCACATATGAGATTCCTGCAAACATAGTAAAATGATATGCTTATTAGGCATTAGCCATTAATTAGAAATTCTTTGGATTGGCTTTCTTTAATCAAAAAAAAATGGCTATGGCAATGTGCTTAAAGAAAATCTAATGGGCTGGTATTAAAAAAAGTTAAAAAAGTATAAATCTATTGATCCAAATTTATCTATCAGTGGCCCTAATGGTAGTTAATTCACTGTGTCTAATGTGCATTTACTGTCAAACAATCAATTTACTGCAACATTTTCTATCCCTGTGTAGAAGGATAGAGTGGTGAGTAACTTTGTTACCTCTACGTTTAAGAACCTCTTATTCTGATATCAAATGTGATACAAATATCATTAAAACTTCTACAAATAAAACAAATGCATATAGAAATTTAATATAAGAATCATTCTCACTTAGCAGTTATGGAAAAATTCATAAGAAATATGCCATCTGGGATGAATAAGTTATTTCTAAACAAAAGTAACAGTATAAGCAAATCAAGGAAACATAAAACTAATGTTTACTAATTTACAAATTCTATGTCTGTAGGAGTATCTTTGCTACCTACTACAACTATGTGCAGTATCTGGCACATAGTATGCAACTAATAAATATTTTGTTAAAATAAACTCATGACCAAAACATCATAGAGCTAAATCTTCAGAATCAGGAGAAACTGAACTTAATTTAGCAGTCTTCATTTTGGGAAAGCAAACAAGTGAATGGGGATGCTATTTTTATGAAAAAAAAAGATGAGTAAGTCTGAAGAGGAAAGGTACAATGAGTATAATTAATTTTTATTTTATATTATATTTAGGAGCTTAGTGATCATCCACATATAATGTTTAAAAATTACATGAAATTTTAGCCTGTTGAACAAGAACGATATCAGGCCTGGAGATATGAGGTTGAGGAGAAATAAAAACAAAAAAGGAAACTTATAGAACATTAAATGTCATTAATATTTGTACAACATACCTCCATCCACAGAACTTAAATTTTCGGTTTTCAATACCACAGTTCCCAAACCTATCTGTTTGACCTTGTATTTCTTCATAACATGCAAATGGAGCATTTTTTGAACCTATCAAGTGAGAAATATATTTGGTTTGAAACATATTTGTTTTTCACTTCCTCCATGTCCTCATATAGAATATATTTTCTTTGGGTTTTTCCTCCATTATTATCTAGTTCACAAGTTTTCCTATTGAGGTTTCAGGGAAAGAGAAAGGAGTACAGTGAAAAGCAATGTTTATGGTTACTACTCCTTTTGATTCATTTATTCATTTATATTACAAAACATTATACAGGGGAAGAAAGAGTTACCAAGAGTTTTTTTGAGAAAAAGACAATAGAGAGATAATACCAAAAAAAACTATACTTTTTCTGCATTATTAGTGAGAAGTAATAAAGAGTCAGGTTCATAACAAATAAATGAGGTTTATGCAATTAGAAATAACTTTACTGTATTTTCAAGTAGTCTAAACTGAAGATACCAAAATACCAGCCTATATATTAACCTATTTCCTTCATGATTTTGTTGGTTTTCTTATTCCTGCATTAAAAAAAATATCAGAGACCTAGCAGCTTAAAAAAATATCCATTTACTTTGCTTATTGTGGTACCAGGAAATGAATCCCAGGCCTTGTATATGTTAGGCAAGCAATTTACTACTGAGCTACATCCTCATCTCTAATACTCATTTATTTTATTTATTCTAATTAGTTATATATGACAGCAGAATGCATTTCAATTCATATTACATAAATAGAGTATAATTTTTCATGTCTCTGGTTGAACACAATGTGGAGTCACACCATTCACGTCTTCATACATGTAACTAGGATAATGATGTCCATCTCATTCCACCATCTTTCTTACTCCCATGCCTCCTCCCTTACCCTCCTTCTTCTTCTATATAAAGTTTGTCTATTCCTCCCATGATCCCCACATCCCCATTATGAATTACCATCCTCATATCAGAGAAGACATTCAGCATTTGGTTTTTTGGGGATTGGCTTACTTCACTTAGCATTATATTTTCCAACTCCATCCCTTACCTGCAAATGCCATGATTGTATTCTCTTTTAATTCTGAGTAATATTCCATTGAGTCTAATACCCACTTATTATCAGGCAGTTTCTGTGGATCAAAAATCCACAAAGTATAAGGTCTGTGCATGTTCTCATTAGATTGAAATCAAGGTATATGCTTGGAATCCAGTGTCATGTGAGCTTTAAGTTCCCTTATGAGCTTACTGGTTGTTGGTAGAATTCAGAATCCTGCAGTTGCAAGTCTAAGGCCCCTATTTTCTTACTAGTTGTCATTGATTGCTTCTGACTCTTTGAAACTCCTCTCACGTCCTAATCATTACTTCCTTCTAAATAAGCAGGAGTATCTCTCTGACATCTACCATCTATTAAGGAATCACATCATACATCCAGACCTATACAGTATAAAGTTAATTGATTATGGACATTAATTACACCTTCAAAATACTTTCACTTAGATTTCTATTTGTTCTGTGGCTTGGGATTCAAGCAGTGAGAATACTGCTGTTCAGCAAGGTGGGTAAAAAAGGGATTTCACTAAAATTCAATATTGGACAGAGTCTCAGAGACAAAGAAATATGGCTACAATCAACAAAGAACAAGTAGTACATTGGAGCCAAGTCAGTTATGGATGCGGCAGTAGCACTGATTCACCACAGAGGGGAGGGATAACACAGAAAGAAAAACACAATGGACAGATTGCTCATGAAAACAACCTATAGATCAGAAAAGCAGCCTGAACTTAGCTGGTCCAAAGATTGCACAATGAACTGGCATTTGAAAAGTGCTCTGTATTTCTCAACTGGCTAGTGGAGAGGTGAGGTGGAGCCATCTGGAGGAGGCCATGCTGCAGCTTGATGCTTTAGGAGCCCAAAAGATCATGGCAAACATTGATGAACTGTTTAAGCAAGTGCCTAACATGTGACCTAGGGTGTACCTAGTAGAATGTGAGTGAAACAGGCACAAAGAAGATTGTACCAAGGGTGATTCAAGTCAGAAACAATGAAGGGGAAACAAATCATAGCAACAACCAATGCCATCAATATATAGCATTAAAATAAATACCTGGTGCCTGCTATGACAGCTACAACACTAATTCTGATAAAATGAGAAATGATGGAGTCAGCAATTGCCAGGAGCAAATGATAATAATAATAATAATAACAACAACAACAACAACAACAACAACTGTAAATTAGATTGACTTACTCTCCTTCGAGTCTGGCATCTCACATGATCAACTGAAGACGGTCAGGAAACGGAACAGGCTGTATTCATGGGCAACAGAATGTGTGGAAGATTGACTCCTCCGCCCCTTGAGTAAAATTCCTGGGAGACTCCTGAGATCAAGACTCTTAGCAGAGATCAGCATCTGCCTGGCACTAGGAAAGTGTTGATACCACCCAACAGATCCACTAAGGCCTGATTATACCTATCTAAAACCCAGATGACAGAATTTCCCTCATAGAAGTCTGAAACAGTCCCACCCCAGAAGTGCATCAATCTGTTCTGTGAAGACAAAACTCCAACTGACAGTACTTCTTATTCCATCCTACCTTTTACTGGTGACAAGGAAAGCTGAGAGCTATTTCAATCAGCTTCACTTTTAGACCACTCCAACTGGCAGCTCAGGGAGCAACACAAAAGAAGAAGGAGTCAACAATCCCCAGTCCTAGAAGACAAACTGTCCCCCTCTTCCAGCCCCTCTCTCTCTCTCTCTCTCTCTCTCTCTCTCTCTCTCTCTCTCTCTCTCTCTCTCTCTGTACATAGCCCAAGAAGAAATAGAAAGAAGGACAGTTGGGCATAGACAGTGACTTTCCATTCTCATCAACTGTTTTGAACATTTCAGTGAAGATGATTCTTCATGTTTCATTAAGAATCTTTTTACCATAGACCTGAACAGAGATCAGGAAATAAAGGAAGGGGATTAAGGGAGAGAGAGGTGGGATGGAAATGGGGAAGAACAGTGTAATAAGTTTCACCAAACTTTCCTATATACACATATAAATATACCACAGTGACTCTCACCTTCATGTATATGGAAGGCACCAATTTTAAAATAATAATAAATAAATACAAGAAAAATCAATCAAGGAAGGGGAACAGAGAAGACAAAAGGGGGGGAAGGAGAAGTACTGGGGACTATACTAGAGTTAATTATATTCCATTCTTATATAATTATGTCACAATGAACCCCTAAGATTATGTATAACTAAAATGAGCTAAAAAGTAAAATAAAATGGAATAATTTTTCCCTTTTTTCTTTCATTTTTTTTCTTTCCCTTTCTCGTGTGTGTGTGTGTGTGTGTGTGTGTGTGTGTTCTTCCTGTGCTGTTTGGTTCTGGATATTTATATATTCACATACATTTCTATTTTCTCCTTCATAGCCTTTTTTTAAAATGACAGTTATTTTTCCTTGCCTTGTTTTTGAAGTTTGCAGGTTTAGGTTGGTTTATTTTGGTTTTGTTCTACTTTTGTTTGTTTGCTGTGTTTTTCTTTCTCTCCTTTGTCCACTTAACACCAAATTCTCCTCTTCTATCTTTCTCTCTCCCTTTACTTTGTTTTACCTATCTTTTCTCCTCTACCTTTCTAATCATGACTTACCATATCTCTTCTGCATCCTCACTATATTCACATTTTGAAATTCTAAATTCTATTCTTGGGCACAGATGAGAGTTGGAGCTGCACGGTGCTCCACGCAGAACACAGAAGATTTGTTTGCGAGTCACCAGACCGAGCTCTGTACAAAGCACAAGGTCACCCCAGCACCCGTCACCTTACCAAACACCCTACTCGGGGAAACAGATGGAACCCATCTTGGAAAACCTTACTCGCCATCAATTGGTGGGCATGGCTACCAGGGCAGTTCTGCGGCTGATTAGATACCTGGTTTCCAACTTCCCCACCCCAGATGTGATAACTCAAAATTTTTCTCACAAGCTTTTAGGGGGTGTAGCTATCAACGAAGAACAGCAACTGTACAGGCACCTGGTTTCTATCTCAGACACTAAGAGTAGGGAGGTTCCAGGTGGAAGCTTAAGTCCTCTCACACTGGCTACCTCCACCACCCTGAGCACAGAGACTCAAGCCAGGAATAGACAACTCCACCTACGGGAAGAAAAGAAAACAGAGTTCTGAGAGACATTTTTTTTTTTTGCTTTCTTTTCTTCTCTCTCTCTTCTTATCCATTTTCCTTTACCCTTCCCCATCTTGTCCTCAAAACATCAACATATGTGAAACCAAGAACTTTGCATGAAATAGGACTTTAACAACTGAATCACCAGAATAATATAATATAGAGGAATTGCATATGCCCCACCTCCCCCCTTTTTTCTTCTTATTTTCTTTCTCCTTCACTCTTTTTTGTTTCTTTCCTTGTTATTTTTTCCTTCTTCCTCCCTATATTCCACTTTAAACCCTGTAACTTTTACTATTTACACATAGGGTAATTTTCTAAATACAGATAGGAGTTTGAATTTATACATTCTTCTGTAAATTACCCCTGTCTATGCATTAGAGCTCTCCTCCAAAGTTGCTAAGTTAGATGAACCCCATACCATTACTCCTTTCCCCCTGAACATAACATCCTTTGCCTGACCCTCAGTACTCTATACGCCACCAGAAATGGAATGCCTTTCATGAAACTAATGACTATATTTTAAATAATAATTGAAGCCAACATCTGTAGACATAGAGTCTAACTATAAGTGTATTAATAATGAAAACTTGCACATAGAGCAATATAAATATATAGGGGAAAATCATTTTCATAACAGTTACACAAATCTGGAAAGGAACATGAGCAGTATGAAAAGACAAGGAAAGAAAGGACCAAAACAATGCAGGACAATTCAACATTAGAAGAGGTAACATCTGCAGCAGAAGGAATGTCAGATAAAGATTTCAGGATATACATGCTTCAGATGATCTGGAGTCTCAAGGAAGACATTATACAGCAAATTCAGACAATGAAAGATCACTTTGATAATGAATTACATAAACAAATACAAGAAGCAAAAGATCAACTCTACAA